CCATGAATTTATCTAGCTCTTTTTTGAGCCCCGTTAAAGTCCTAGTCTTTAAAACATCATCTGGCAAGGAGTTCCACAGGTTGACTGTGCGCTGAGTGAAGAAAAACTTCCTTCTGTTTGTTTTAAACCTGCCACCTATTAATTTCATTTGGTGACCCCCTAGTTCTTATGTTATGGGAACAAGTAAATAACTTTTCCTTGTTCATTTTCTCCATATCTGTCATGATTTTATAGACCTACATTATATTCCCCGTTAGTCTCCTCTTTTGTAAGCTGAAAAGTCCAAGTCTTTTTAATCTCTCTTCATAGGGGACCCGTTCCAAACCCCTAATGATTTTTGTTGCCCTTTTCTGAACCTTTTCCAGTGCCAATATATCTTTTCTGAGATGAGGCAACCACATGTGTACGCAGTGTTCAAGGTGTGGGCATACCATAAATTTATATAGAGGCAATAAGATATTTTCTGTCTTATTTTCTATCTCTTTTTTGATGATTCCTAACATTCTATTTGATTTTTTAACTGCCACTGCACATTAAGTAGATATTTTCAGAGAACTATCCACAATGACTCCAAAATCTCTCCCTTGAGTGGCTATAGCTAAATTAGTCCCCATCATTTTGTATGGATAGTTGGGATTATTTTTTCCAATGTGCATTACTTTACATTTATTCATGTGCCATTTGGTTGCCCTATCACCTAGTTTTGTGAGATCCTTTTGAAGCTCTTCACAGTCTGCTTTGTTCTTAACTATCTTGAGCAGTTTAGTATCATCTACTTGTTTGGCAGCCTCAGGCATTTAGGACTAAATGGGCATAGAAAATGAATTGTCCCATCATATGTAAAGTCTTTGGTATGGAACCCAAGTGAGTATCTCCAGGAAGGTTTATGCTCAGCAGGTGGCAATCAGTAGCAGCACAGAACTCCTCAGGAGCTGGGATGCGCAGAGTAAGTTCCTATAGTCTATCTAGGTCAGGAGATGACAGCTCCTCTGGCACTGGGGCTGTAGGGTGAAGGGGGAAGAGAGCCAGCTTCTCTGGCTGCAAGGGACGGACAGCAGGAGAGCTAGCTGTTCTAGCTATGGGAGAAGAAGAAAGTGCCTCTTCCCAAAATGGCCATTGCATGTGCCTGTCTCCAGCTAAAAGCTGAAGCTCATTAGCAAAACCTCATGTGGAAAATCACACTGTCACAACCTGTGCTGCCCCTATTCGGTGGATAACTTAAATTCCGTGCTGCTTTGCTCTCAGCACTACATTCATAAACAGTTAAAATGAGAGAAACCTTGTGCCTGAGCTGAAAGCAGCAGCTAGTTACACTTCTCCGGTGCCTGTATTCTTCCAAGGTAGGGATGTTGCTTTTAATAACAAAGTGAAAGTGACACTGGTACCAGTCATTAATATTCCCTTACACACATTTGCATTCAGTTTCTTTTGGCTCTTTCCTAATTTAGATCCTGTCCACACTAGAATTCAAAACATGCTAGCCGCAGCTATGTATAAATGTGGTTGTACTCAAGATTCCAGCATACTTTCCTGACCAGTATTGACAAGGGAGTTTTATTGTTGTTGCTGTTTGGGAAGGGAGTTATTCTGAAACAGTGAAAACTACATTTGCTGTAGAATGCCGGCCAGATCATTAGGCGTTATAAATTAACTGATTTCAGTGGTGCTACCCCAATTTGTACCAGCTGAGGTTCTTGCCCTACTTTTCTAGATCATCTATGGCATAGTTTTGCAACCCACTTATAGCAGCAGGCAAAAAAATTTATGACACATTTTAAGTTCATTGTTTAATTAATAGTGGAAGAGTGCTCAGATGGCTGTGATAATGGATGCATTATATGAACCCAAATAGAATAGAAACACATTATCCAACTATCAAGGAAACTACACTAGAATCCAGCTAGGTAGGCAGTATGGTTTCAATTCCAGTGAAAACAGTTCCTTGGAAACTATGTCTCCTGTAGCATCTAGACATCATGATTCTTTCTTCTTTTTGAGACATAAGAAGCTGAAAAGCTGGCTGAAAAAAAGTAGTAAGAAGCACTAAGCAAGACAGTTTCCAGTGAGCAGTGTTTTAATAATCTGCAGTAAAGAGATGGAGGTTTGGGATAACACTGTGATTTGATTTGTCAGACATAGAGCCTAATTTCTCAGTGATGTTCCAGCTTTACACCAGCACAACTCCACTGAAAAACTGAAGAAAGCAGTGGTGAATTAGGTCAGATGTCAGCACATCACTCCTATGTTTTGAAGAACCATGAAAATCCAGACTTGACATGGGGGTGGGGTGTCTGTGTGTGTGTGTGAAGTGACAGCACCACAGGTAATGTTAAAGCACTGTCACTTGTCTAAAGCTGAGTTTTCTAACCTCTCTGAAATTCACACACAGAGGTCAGAGTGGCCTAGAAATTGGTATGTTAGTTTGTGACCTGGGATAAAAGTGAGAAGCAAATTGAAGGTCATTGACTTAATGGGTTCCTGAGAGATAAACTACTTCCCATGAGCTGTTTTAAAACGTTAATGTTCTTATAATGCTTTTTAGCATTAAAATAGGGGAAAATACCAGGTATGTGCAAGGGAAAAAAGCAGCCCCAAATTACATCTCCTATATGACTAGATGGCTTTTTTTGATCTAGCATCCAGTGCCAAGAATCAACTTGAACACCTAAGAGTGAAGAAGTTCCACATGGACTTTTGGACTGAGTGTGCAAATCTATGTGCTTTCCTTTCCTGTCTGTAACCTGTATCCAACTCACTAGACCAAACTTGACTTGCAGAACCAGGAAGAGAATCTAAGATTCCCACAGGATACTGTCTAGAAGCACCTGCTTGCAATGTGTGATATGCAATGTGGGAATCAAGAGCTGAAGTAGTAGATGGTTTTGGTATGGATCTCTGCAAACTTTGCTGCTAACATACATTGGAGACTTTATGTTTCCATGTGACTGAATTTATCTTTTACTACTTTAGTTTAGATTGGAGAGGTTTGCGACTGCATTTTGAATTTTCTCTTAAAATCTCCAGTCAGATCAGTCTCAGAATAGGAGCTCAAGAGCCTGACACATGAGAGTGGTTGGCAAAGATTACCACAGACAAACAAGCTGGAGGAGCAAGGTGCTGTAAACATCCTGAGAGACTCCTTACTGTGGAGATGAAGCAGAAGTCTGGTGAAAACTGCATTCTTCTGCTGGATAGGAAATGTCACATCAACTCTTAATGTAAGACATCAGATATTCTTGGCACAACTGATCTTTGACATGGCCACCCGTATATTGGAAAACTTTTCTGGGCCAGGTAATTAGCTTGTGTAAATGGGCTTTACCCATGAAAGCTCATGATTCTATATATTGTTTTTAAAGTTCCAGCCAACACGGGTACCCCTCTGCGACTGATATAACTCAGGTGACTTAAGTACAGTTACACCAAAGTAGGCCAGTGGAGGATATAACCTAGAAGAGAAATGTTCAAACATAAAAGAAGCTGTGGTTCTTTATGATATGTTCTACTTTTTTTTTAGCATTCAGCAGATTTTGAATGGTAACAGTGTGGTGTTCTGGGCCACCCTGTTAAATGCAATGGGACAGTTGTGCAGTTAGAGAGTGCACAATGTTTGGAGTTCAAACTCCTTCAGATAATGGGGCTTGGGCTTTGTCAGTTAAAGGAACATTTTCTCCTTCTAAGAAACTGTTTCTTTAATATAATATTTCTTGCACCACATCTTACCACAAATTTGCCACAAGAGCCATGATTCATAACAATGTCATGCATTTTGGCTTGTTTGAAACTACGGCAAGGAAGCCATGCTAAGGAAGGCAACTGTGCTTTAAAAGTGGTTAACACATTTGAATCTAAATTACAACTTCCTGAGCATTTTTACAACTGTACTGAAAGCTGCTCTTGGACCTTGCCCCCGTTTTTCTGGTTTACTTGCAGCGCACACAGGGCTTTTTACACTGTTAATGACAGAAATGTGTCCCACACTGTTCTCCAGTGATTCTTTAACCCAGTGATTCCCTCCTACCCCCGCATTCCAAATTTACCTCAGTGCTTCTCCAGCCACCAAGTTTACCCCTCTGATCCACTGCCTTCCTAGTTGTTCCCAGTTCTTCTCTACTTTGCTTCAGTGCTCTCTTACCCCTAGTTTTCCCCAACATTTCCCCTCATGGATTTGGCCCAGTGGTTTCCTTCACACATGGCCATTTCACCCTCAAACACCAGCTCTGGAGCCCATCCACAGGTAAACAATATCCAGCAGAGCCAGACTCATGCTTCTATTATCAGTTCAACCAGAACACTGCATCTAACAACTCTCCACTGCTTGTGGAAAATTTTCAGGTGCAGCTCTGGATTCAAACTCCAGGCCCATCTCTGGTGAGTACTAATGCAAACTACACGAGGGCTGCACAGTGGATGCTTCAGAATGTAACTCTGGGGCCCACGGCTTAAAATAAATAAAACGTGGGATGACTTTGGCGACTAATTTGTAAGATAAATCTTTTATGTTGGGGATTTTGTCTGGGCACAATGAATGGGGCTGGCGGACTAAATTTGCAAGTGAACCACTCACTATAGCTCTTGCATCACTCACACATAACTAGTAAGTTAATCATCAGCTTTCATACACAGCTACCAGACAGCATGCCAAAAATAACTTACGTCTCAGTTATATTTGTTGACCTGACATGTTCCCTAGCTTTGATCCCTTGTTTTTAAACTCTCATTCACTTTTGCTTTTGAAATCATTGGACATAAACAGTTTCTGCAAATCCCTTCCTCCCCCCATCTCCTCCCTTCCTCCCCCCGCATTAAATATCCACATGATATGACAAGAAATGCAGCTGACGATAAGTTTTCATTTAACAGAATATGAATTAATTCACCATGCTGACATGGGCAGTTTGAGGCACAGTATGAGTCACAACTCATGTTATATTCTTGCCCAATTATATCCCAGTCACTTGAGCTAATTGAGTCAAATGATACAGTGTCACAGGACTTACTGTAAGTCCAGAGTATTTCTCCTGCTGCCTAAGCTGCTCATCTTCAGCTGTCAACACACACAGCATTCCGTGTAATTACAGCCAGGCCCCAACAACAGAAGAGCTGCAGCCGCCGTTGATTTTTTATGTTTGTCAGGAGTTGTTTCAGTCTCAGTAACTTCTGCATTTGTTCCTTTGTCGCTGTCTGCATGAATTTAATATTCTTTAAGATTGTACCGTCTCTCTTCCCTTTGCCACCCACAAGTTATTGGAATCCATTATCTCTTACTGACTGTGTGGCCAGGCTTGCCTTGTCTAGTTTTTAGCAGGGTTGCTACAGGGGCCTCGAATGATGAGTCAGCATTCTTGGAAGTTGTCAAGGATTTCAGTGAGCACTAGCAGAAAAATTGCATTCACAGCTCGTGTGAGCCCCAGAACTGCTTTCTGCTGGAGTTACAGTTTACAGCGCATTGGAGTTTTACTCTGAGATAGACTGGAAAGTCATACCATAATAGTCTATTGGCAATGTCTTTTTTGGGCTTTTGGTTTGTTACTTTGGTATGCAAAGGGGCTGATTCTGACTTTGCACCAATTTTGACCAGTGTAACTGTTTTGGTACCAGGGGCATTGCTCCCAGTTTATGGTCCTATTCTCCTTTATGCAGTGGGCACTCCAGGTAGACTGCTCTTTAGCTAGGCTGCAGTGGTTGTGTAGTTCATCATGGAAGGTGTAGTTTTGTCAGGCAATGTGGCCCTTGGAGAAGAGATGGATGGTTTGGAGTTGCATGACTCAAGAGAGCGGGCGAGCACAGGAGACACCTCAGGGGTGCCATCTATCCTGCAGTTGCTTGGCACACAGTAGGGGCTCTAGAATGTGTCAAAAGGGGTGAAGAGAAAGAGCAGGATCCTGATCCTACAGCTTCCCTGCTCCTTTACAAGTTTATTTCTCCCTGAAGGGAATAAAGATTCCTTTTGTGCTCTGCCCTTCTGCAAGAGCAGCTCATCGGCTGGACCAGTGAATGGCAACAGGGCAACGTTATCAAGAATTCTCTACCTCAGGAGCGGCCCGAGGCCGGCTGTAGCAGCTGGCGCCCCAGGCAGAAGGCGCAATGGCCGTGACGTCATCATTGAGCGCCTGGGCCGGCAGCGCCCTGGGCGACCGCCTAGTCTGCCTAGGCTCACGGTCCGCCCCTGCTCTATCTTTTTGCTTTTCTGGTATGAGAAATGATGGGTTTGTGAAAATCAACAGTGCCATTGAATGATAGCTGATTTACACTAGCCGAGTCTTTTATTTCATATCTGTGGGCATGGCAGCTTGCCAGAGCTTTCTTTGTGGTGTATATTGACCATGTCAATTACACAGTTGCCATAACAAAAAAAAATCTGTATTGTTTTAAACTTAGCAACCGTTCACCTTCTCCCTCCCACTTATTTTCTCAGAATTTCTTGTGTTCTCTTCAGTACCAACATTGGTTTTAATTTCCTCAGAGGGAGCTTTCACTATGACCATGAGAGCTGCTGACATAATTAGATCAGCCGATTGTGTAAAACTGCAATGGGAACTCCCCTGAAATGTCCGCCCCAGGAGCCAGTACTTGCTCTATGTCATTCAAGAGGCCAGAATGACTTTCAAGGTATTTTCCTCACAAGGTTTCACTGTTTATTTGTTTTGACCTGTTGACTACGACAAGAATAGACTGTGCCTTTTCTTAACACCGAAGTATACTGAAAGACCACAGTGACTCCCAAAGCCCTCAGCAGTCTTTCCATTTGTTGCCAACGCACAGACAACAGCCCTGCTGTGTAAGAGCTGTGAGCAGAGGAGCACATGTGGCATTCCACTTCATCCTAGAACCCCATAATAAATAAATATGCATCTATGCCATGACAAAGAGCCATGATGCCATGGCCCACCCACCCTCTCGTATAACGGTGATCAAATGACCAACATTCATCCCTGTGGCCACTTTGCACCTGGTCACATACTCCCCCCCTCCCCAGTATAAAAGCATTCCCCATGCTAGCAGAAAGCCCACTTTGCCAGCTCTGTGGTACCTTTGTGGAATCTCTGGTTGGTTGAGGGCAGGGACAGAGGTAGGGAAGGATGTAAGGAGGTGTGGACACCTCCTGGCAACGCTTCACTGGAAAGATACTTTCCGGAATCTGAATATAGGCATTGGCAGTGGGAGGCATAAATGAGAGCTCCTGGTCTACTCCTGAGAATCCAGTAGCAGTCTCCCTTCTGGTTCATTCCTGGACCAAGTCTAGGGTCAGCACAGAACCCAGGCCATTGTCCTTTTCCTGCCTTTATATCCTCTGTTTTGCTTCTCACATTTAGAATTTCCCACTCTCCTGATTTGCCCCCAAGCCTCTTTAAAATACATTTTCTGCTGTCAGCAATTGTAATGCTGCCAAACCATGTGCCAACTTATGTCAAGGTTCTCATGTCTCAACTGAATGCTGAGATATACATAGCTGAGATATACATTAATCTGGTTTATCTATGGAGTAGGATTATAAAACTGTTCTTGAGTGGTTAGACTTTATGGAATGCTTACGTTGGTGCATGAATGAATCTCACTTATAACTTCTTGTAAGTTAATACTTATGTGCTCGCATTGTAATCCTCTATAGCTGTGGAAAGCACCAGAAAGGAGAGAGACATTCATTAGTGTAAAATGCTGGCCTACAAGAAAAGATATTTGTCTGGTCCCACAGAGAAGAAGGCCCTTGAACTCCAGATGAATGGAAAGACTTTGTTGATTGCTCTCTCTGCCACTTGGAGAGGAGACTGCAATTCCTCCCATCAGCTGATCTGGCAGCTCACAGTAGGAGGACAGGGAATAAAACACCTTACAAAGAGAAACTGTATCTCTGTGCTGCTTGGACTCTCGAGTGCAAGATTTTCTAGGAATAAACAAGAGATCCCCAAAGTTTAGCCCTATGGTGCTTCTTTATATAGAAACTTTTATTATCTTTTGAAATTTAAGACTAACTCGTGTGTGTGTATGTTTAACTGCTTTAACCTTATAAACAATTCTTTTCCTAGTTCTGAATTCTTTAGCTAGTTCAGTATAGAATTAGCTCTAAGCGCTTTTTTTGGTATGGGATATAAGGTGCAATTGACCTGGGGTAAGTGAATGGTCTTTTGGGACTGGAAGTAATACTGAATATTGTTGTCATTTTTAGTGTAAGGGGTCATCTATCACAAAGGCAAGCTTGTCTAAGTAACAAAGTAGATTAGAGTACTCAACGAGACTGCCTGTGATTCCATAGTTAGGCTGGTATGTTGCCTGAAGAGTTTACAGTTGGTACTTGTAGGTGAACTCTAACTACAGTCCTCATAGCCAATATAGGGTTTGTGCCCTGCCTCTTAACAGTCTGCCCTGAAGTTGGTACTTATGCTCTCGAGGCACTATCCCTATTTTACAGATGGGAAATGGAGACATAACAATGAACTGTCGGAAAAAGGTACGCAAATTGTGCTCCGCAATTTGAGTACCCTTTTCCGATAGTTTTTTCTGAAGAGGGTTTTCTGAAATTTGGCCCATCTACACTGGGCCAAATTTCAGAAAAGTTTCCTCTTTCAGAAGAGCCCTTCTTCCTCACAAAAGAGTTTTTCCGGGATACCTCTGATATCCCAGAAAAATGCCATAGTGTAGACATTGCCTAAGTGACTATCAAGGTCACACAAGAAGTCTGTGGTAGATCAATAAACTGAAACCAGTTTTCTGGTTAGTGTCTTAACTACAGGTTCATCTTTCCTCCCTATCATAACAAAAATAATAATTTCAAGTTTTCATGGAGATTTTTGCATAACTAACCTTATGAAATCAGAGTTTACACCAGCTATGGATCTATGTTTATGCTTAACAAAGTTAAGCCCTGCTCTACATTTAAAAGTTTTGTTGGCATTGGTTCTAAAAGTGAAAATAGTGCTAGGTAATAGAGCAATGCAGCAAAAAGCCCATGTGTACATGCAGTTATACCAGAAAAAAGTCCTTTTTCTGATATAGTTTGTCATTCATTCAGCTGATATAAACTAAACTAGCAAACTCTTGTGCAGGCTTAAGTTGTATCTCTGGGTATGTTGACACAGCAAAGTTATTTTGAAATAACAGCAGTTATTTTGAAATAACTTTACCAGCGTCTACACAGCCAAATTGCTATTTTGAAATTTAATCGAAATAGTGGAGGGCTTATTTCGAAATTGGTAAATCTCATTCCACAAGGAATAGTGCCAATTTTGAAATTGCTATTTCAAAATAAGTGCTGCATAGACACTTATAGACACTTATTTCGAAATAGGAGGCCTCCAGCCCTTCCCAGGGAGCCCTGCTGGCCACCCTGGCCACAAGGTAACTTCTGACCTGATGCCCGGCCAACCAGTTCCGGCTGGCCTTAAATGCGATTCAGCGTCCAATCAGTGTGGATGGGCTATTTCAAAATAGCAAAATCTATTTCAAAATACATTTTGTGTGTAGACGTGTTATTTCAAAATAAGTAATTTCAAAATAACGCTGAGGTGTATACATACCCTCCATTAATAAGGAGTGCCAGTATAGCTACAAGCAGGGCCGGCCTTAGGCCGATTTGACAGATTCGGTCAAATCGAGCCCCATGCCTAAGGGGGCCCCGCTCCCCTGAGCCTGGAAGTACTGGCCCACAAGTTACAGAGGCGGGGCCCTGCTCCACCACTATGTGGAGCTGAGTCTCTCCCCTGGCTCTGCCTGGAGTGGGCTCCGGACCCGGCCCACAAGTGACAGGGGCGGGGCCCTGCTCCACCACTATGTGGAGCTGAGTCTCTCCCCTGGCTCTGCCTGGAGTGGGCTCCGGACCCGCACCGGCTCTCCCGCGCGTCCCCCCACCCCACCCCCAGAGCCTCCCCCT